TGAGAACAAGAGACAGGCAGAACCTCCCATCCACACAGCATCCACCTCTTCTCTATTACACACACCAGAATTCTGTATTTCAGTCTATGATTGCCATGTGAGCGTACAAAAAATCTCTGTAAGTTAATTGACACACGTACAAAAACAAAATCAACATTTTATATATTTAAAATCGTAAATATTGCCAGATTGGTTTTCACAGCTGTTTCACAAGGTGTTCATTATTGTAAATTGTAGTGTATCCTTTGATGGTATTTGTTAGTTCAACATTATTCATTGGTGTATCCTAGGACATACAATAGGTATATTTAACCACAAGGATGTACTAATGAGCTATGATTTATTTATTTTTTATCATAAGAGGACTACTGAAATAATATTATTTCAGTGTAGATAAGGGAAGGCCTGTTTAAAACAAAAACATGCCAGCCAGACTAGCCAGTGTATGAATCAAATGTATTTGCATATGAATGGAGTGGAATTTAGCTGACTGATCTGTAAGGTAAGTAACATTAATGTGTGTCGTGGGGGGGGGGGGGGGGGGGGCATCGAAATGATATTCTTTTTTACCCCGATGCCTGTTTATTCATAAAAAGCAGAAGATTGTAAATAACACTAAATCGCAATGGTTAGCTTATTCAAATTAATAGGAAAACAAAAGCTTATTTGTAGGAATACATTTAGCCTAATTGGTAACATATGTGGGGAAATGTCTGGATCCTAGTCAGGCTATTGTTTGACAAATCCAGATTAAATATAGGTCTTCATGTGTATCAAATCTGTAGGCGATTGTGGACTAAATCAATGATCTGTGATCAAAACAGTCTGGGGTGTTTTGGGGTCTGTTTAGGCTAAGGTTATGCGTAAGAACGCAATTGCACTGAAATGAATAGCCTGATTCAACGCGATTCTCCTGAATAAAAACGTGTTTCTGTTAAGCTGTTTGGTCTATGCATAGACCCATACCGATTCTATCTTTTTGGTATTTTGCGGTAAGCATAGCCTACCTCTAATATTCTAAATTAAGGAGCATTTAATAAACCCACCACAAACGAAACGAGGTCAAATCATGACATCAGTGATTTTCAGGTCAGAGATTTCAGAGTTCCGAGTTGTTCTGAATGCACCACTAGAGACCTAGGCTACCTCTTATTTTTGAATAGGGATACCTCCAACAAAGTAGCCCTTGTGTCTGTATTGATGTGAGAAATAGGCATATCTACACGTTAATGGTGGCTGGCTGCGATATCAACTAGCCTAATAATTTTTGTATTGAGGTGATATGCCTATTTTAGCTAAATCGACAAATGAAATTGATTCGATTACTCTGGCAATGAATTTTATTTTTTACAAAATCATGTACATGTAGACATTTGTAAGGCGTTCATGGTGAGATCTTTAATATTAAACTAAACAGACACTTAAACTAACACGTGGCGCTTAACACATGTACAGTCGTGGTGAAAAGTTTTGAGAATGTAATTTTCACAAAGTCTGCTGCCTCAGTTTTGATGATGGCAATTTGCATATACTCCAGAATGTCATGAAGAGTGATCAGATGAATTGCAATTAATTTCAAAGTCCCTCTTTGCCATGAAAATGAACTTAATCCCCCCCAAAAAAAAATTCCACTGCATTTCAGCCCTGCCACAAAAGGACCAGCTGCCATCATGTCAGTGATTCTCTCTTTAACACAGGTAAGAGTGTTGACGAGCACAAGGCTGGAGATCACTCTGTCATGCTGATTGAGTTAGAATAACAGACTGGACGCTTTAAAAGGAGGGTGGTGCTTGAAATCATTGTTCTTCCTCTGTTAACCATGGTTACCTGCAAGGAAACACGTGCCGTCATCATTGCATGGTCCTCTGTAGCTCAATTGGTAGAGCATCGCGCTTGTAACGCCAGGGTAGTGGGTTCGATCCCCGGGACCACCCATACGTAAAAATGTATGCACACATGACTGTAAGTCGCTTTGGATAAAAGCGTCTGCTAAATGGCATATTATATTATTATTATTGCTTTGCACAAAAAGGGCTTCACAGGCAAGGATATTGCTGCTAGTAAGATTGCACCTAAATCAACCATTTATCGGATCATCAAGAAGAGAGGTTCAATTGTTGTGAAGAAGGCGTCAGGGCGCCCAAGAAAGTCCAGCAAGCGCCATGACCGTCTCCTAAAGTTCATTCAGCTGCGGGATTGGGGCATCACCAGTGCAGAGCTTGCTCAGGAATGGCAGCAGGCAGGTGTGAGTGCATCTGCACGTACAGTGAGGCGAAGACTTTTGGAGGATGGCCTGGTGTCAAGAAGGGCAGCAAAGAAGCCACTTCTCTCCAGGAAAAACATTACATTTACATTTTACATTTACGTCATTTAGCAGACGCTCTTATCCAGAGCGACTTACAAATTGGTGCATTCACCTTATAGCCAGTGGGATAACCACTGGTACAGGGATTGGACTGCTGAGGACTGGGTTAAAGTCATTTTCTCTGATGAATCCCGTTTCAAAAGTGATAACTGACCTCCTGTAGCTCAATTGGTAGAGCATGGTGCTTGCAACGCCAGGGTTGTGGGTTCGTTTCCCACGGGGGGCCAGTATGAAAAATGTATGCACTCACTAACTGTAAGTCGCTCTGGATAAGAGCGTCTGCTAAATGACGTAAATGTTTTTTTAAATGTAAGTGGCTCGGGAAACAAAACATCGACATTTTGGGTCCATGGCCAGGAAACTCCCCAGACCTTAAAAACCTATATCCATTGAGAACTTGTGGTCGATCCTCAAGAGGCAGGTGGACAAACAAAAACCCACAAATTCTGACAAACTCCAAGCATTGATTATGCAAGAATGGGCTGCCATCAGTCAGGATGTGGCCCAGAAGTTAATTGACAGCATGCCAGGGTGGATTGCAGAGGTCTTGAAAAAGAAGGGTCAACACTGCAAATATTGACTCTTTGCATAAACTTAATGTAACTGTCAATAAAAGCCCTTGACACTTATGGAATGCTTGTAATTATACTTCATTATACCATAGTAACATCTGACAGTTGTCTGTCTTGGTTTACTTATAAAAATCTTTGGTGGCACTCAATTTAGCTTTGTTTTGATTTTCTTCCGGGTGGAGGAAATCTAACCGCCAAATTGAAATTACCCAAGGCGTATGAATGTGTTAGATTTAGATATCGCTAATGCACTTCATTTGTGTTTGTTTTATATTGCCATTCGCTTACGCATATCCAACAATGTTTAGTGTGATTTAAAAAAATACTACCATAGCTAACTAACGCGTTATCTCACACGGCGGACACAATGGAAGAGCCGAGAAAAGGTAACGTTAGCTAGCTAGGCAAACTAGGAAGCTAACATTATAACTGTGCATTATCAAAAGTTTATACAATTGACATGTTTGAATACAGTGGTGTCAAATGTGCGTAATTTAGCTTCCTAGTTGGTTTTAATAACGTTATATGCCGCTTTAAAAACAACTGGGATCTCGTAAATCTTCGAGTTCCGACTTCAGTGCGTTCTGGGAACTCGGAAAAAAACGAGCTCCGAGTAGGAATAATCGATATGAATCGTCATCCCACTCGGAATTATAACTCGGGCTTCTTGCTAGAGCTCCGACTTTCCGACCTGAAGATCACTGACGTCATTATTTGACCTCGTATTTTTCCGAGTTCCCAGTTGTTTTGAACGCAGCATAACCGTCCACAGAGTTGTATTATTTTCCAGAGAACGCACCGAGTTGATTATCCCTTTTATACCATGGATATAATTTAACACATTTACCGCTAGAAATGTGTTCAACATCCACTCGTAAATTTTATCTGGCTATCTATTCCGATTTCAGAGCACTTGTATGAGTGCGCAGAATAACTGATGAATTTACAAACAGACCCTAGATAGCAACAGTAGTTGCCTTGGTAACCAAACAAACAGGCACGCTAGTTCAGCTAATCAAACCATCAGTCCAAGCTTGCTATTATGAAAATCGAATTCAACAATGGCAATAATGTTTTCAATTCGACTTTTGCTTTCAAAAGCAGCTCAAACATAGAACATGTAAGAACTATAGCCATTGAATTCTACTTGCAAATATACTGTGCATTACAGGGAAATAATGCATGCTCTAGAATGCCCTTCAAGCCAATCAGAAACGAGTATTCAATTATGCCATGGTATAAAGTATTATCCAAATCTTTTATATTCACAGATGTTTTGGGGTACTTGAACATGTTGGAAGTGGAAGCGAACAACTTGGCAGTGAAGCAGGAGGAGCCCCTTGCTTAGTGGTGTTGCAGACTGAGGCCTTTCAGAACAGGTGTATATATACTGAGATCATGTGACACTTAGATTGCACACAGGTGGACTTTATTTAACTAATTATGTAACTTCTGAAGGTAATTGGTTGCACCAGATTTCATTTAGGGGCTTCATAGCAAAGGGGGTGAATACATATGCACGCACCACTTTTCTGTTATTTATTCTTTAGAATTTTTTGAAACAAGTAATTTTTTTTCATTTCACTTCACCAATTTGGACTATTTTGTGTATGTCCATTACATGAAATCCCAATAAAAATCCATTTAAATTACAGGTTGTAATGCAACAAAATAGGAAAACCGGCAAGAGGAATTAATACTTTTGCAAGGCACTGACAACCGAAGACTCGAGACCATAGACCTACTGGTAAAATGCACATGAGGGGGTACTTCAGGGGTACTCCAGGCAGAGCAAAATTCAGTTGGTGGTATAGTAATCGAAAAGGGTTGGGAACCACTGGTTTAGACATTATCACCAACCATCTATCCACACCTCTTTTGCCTTCATTGTCTTTCTCAGGTGGGTATGATGTACTCCAGACTCATAAAGGAGTGTGTGTCTCGATGGCCACTGCCTACGAAGGCGTCTACCTTGAGACATACAACCTGGAGATGGACCTGGGGTCTAATCTGAGAACATTCCTCAATTCATCCCCCTGGAGAGGCTGGTCAAGCAGAGCAACATGCAGACAGACGTCAGGGCTTTCCTGGATACCCTCAGCCAGTATCTCAATGCCTACGTTGGCCGCAAGCAGCAGCTGCACCTCATCAAGGTACCAGAGTACCAGCCATCCACATTGATATCTGAAATAGAATATTCAGCCATTTCCATATATTATTCATCTTTTGCAGAACTAAAAATATGCTTTTGTCTGCTCAATGTAAGAGAGATGTAATAGTCTTTGAATAATATAGCATCAGAAACTTTTGTTGTGATGGCTGTATACAGTATGTTAGATTATGCTGTTTGTTTTTCATGGCATTTTGAGAGCCTTGCTCAGAAAGCTCCTATAGACAAAATGTATACACCATAGTTCAGACCAGTCTTCTCCCCCTGTTTCCTGTCTGCTTCCAGGAGCTTCATAGCTCTGTTCAGGTGATGGAGAGCAATACTCTCTATACTATACTATACTATACTGGTGCTGATGTTCACTATACCAGGAGAGAAGGCCAGGGCTGCATTGTGCACACTGGAGTATGCTGACCACACACGATGTCTGCCCAACCGGGTCAACATGGAGTCTGAAGGTAGAATTCATAAATACCATCTAGAGACTTAATATTAAACTACCTTTTAAGGGCTGTTGTTGAAACAACATAGGACGGTATGTATAAGGCTTTTCTGGAGGATGTTATCTTTAGCCATGTGCATGCCTGTTGCTTCTGTAAAATGAGTGATACCTTGCTTTGTGTGTGTGTGTAGACATCGTGCTGGCCAATTCTCCACAATGGAAGAAGAACCACGCCCTACTCCTGGAGACCCCGGTACACACAGCCTTGGTGACCATTAAGAAGACAGGCAGTATCGCTTAGTCTGAACACACAGTATCCTGTAAATACACTCAAGACTGAACAGTTGTTTATGTCAATGTATGAAGTTTGTTTTACATTTGTTTTTTATACTAATTTAATTAAGCCAGTCACTATGTAGGCTAGTAATTGTCATATATCTGTACATGTATGTATTGTTGTTAATAAAAAAATAACTTGTTTTACTCTAGTTTGATAACCCTGTTTGCAATATAATGACAACAACAGTATGTTGCTAAACTAAATTGGTAGTATTGACTTATTTGACTGCATCAGTTAACTTAAGGCAGTAGTACTATTCCCCTGAGCGACCCAATATAGACCTCAGAGTAAACCTGATGGTCTACATTTACAGTCCTTCAAAAGTGTATAATTAATTCACAAAGGTTACTAGGAAACAGTGTACAATATAAGAAGATCAGGTTCCTCCCCCAAAACATTTTTTTATAACTGCTTTTCTGACCTGACTTGAATGCAATACTTCTTTCATAGGGTTGTTTTCCATTTGCACACTACAAGTGTTGTCAAGTGTTTTCAGAAAGGTGTTTATTTTCTGGCTTAGCTTATCCCTCTGACATTGAGTCTCTCCTTCTCTCCTCTAGCATGTTGTTGTTGGCTGGCCAGCTCCTTTTCATAGATACAGCTAATAGTGGACATTTGCCTCAGTTTCATGATAGAAAACACCCCTGCCTTGCTGTCTCTCTCTGTACTTCACAGAGTGCACTGCCCCTACCTGTGTCTCTCTGTGCTTGGCAGAGTGTACGGTTTTGGCCTGCACTGACTGAGATCTCCTCGAAATCAGCAGTGGTGTTCCTCGAGCCTCGACCCCAACCGTTCTAGGTTTCTCTAGAATGAGATTACTGTGCGATGTCTGGCAACGTGAGACTAGTTTTCCTCCGTCACTGGAAAGAGATTAACTGGAGTCAATCTTCTGTTGTCAGAGACCGAGGCGGCACAACCCACCCTTGCCTTTTTAGTTTCGGATCTCTTTCATGGTTTTGTAGATAGTGGCGCAAGGTTCACAGACTTCACAGAGAATAAGTCGTTTTTATTGTGTTCCGTCATCAGTGTCTCCTGAGGATGTACCTGTGCCTCGTGTCTAGCAGGTTCAGTTGTGTTGAAGAATAACATCCTCCTGGTGATTCAGAAACCTCACATCCAAAACAGACTTTACAGTTCTCTGGGAATTGTTGAACTCTGTTGGTATGAAGCCTAAAAATATGCTTTAAATGTTATGATAATACTTGAAAACAACTTGGCTTTGCTGTACCACAGCCGAAGCCTGCCAGCAGCCTACCATTACAATGTAGAAAATAGTTATCCATATTACCGGAGCTTAATCGTTCTAATTCTTTCTATGGTGGATTCGCAGCTGCAATTTATGGAAGACGCCAAAACTTTGGAGATAACAATAGATGGTGACGTCAAACACTTCAGTGGTTACCATCTGGGGCAAAGTTGTTCAAATCCAGCTCCAGAACCAGCCATAGAACCAGCTGGCTAATATTCTGAATACGGTATAGTAAAAAAGAAAACATCAACAACAGATAACATTAGCAAGCTAGATAAGGTCAGCATGCTGTTGTTGATGTTTATCAACTTCACCTGGAAATTCCCACACCCAATTTGTGAATATGTATAAGTAACCTAAACGTGCATTTAATCTCTAGGACCGGAAATTACGTCTAAATAGTGGCAGCAACTTCTTCTGGAGGGGTGGCTTTTAATTTGGATAAAGATAATTTTGGTGCCCTAAGGACAGACTTCAAGCACAAAAGGTAATACCAAAAAGTATTTACTGCTGCTATCTCCAGGAAGACGAGGGGTGGTGGTCTGTGTCTATTTGTCAATAACAGCTGGTGCGCGAAATCTAATATTAAAGAAGTCTTGAGGTTTTACTGGCCTGAGGTAGAGTACCTCATGATAAGCTGTAGACCACACTATTTACTAAGAGAGTTTTCATATATATTTTTCGTAGCTGTCTAATTACCACCACAAACCGATGCTGGCACTAAGACCGCAACTCAACGAGCTGTATAAGGCCATAAGAAAACAAGAAAATGCTCATCGAGAGGCGGCGCCCCTAGTAGCCGGGGACTTTAATGCAGGAAAACTTAAATCTGTTTTACCTCATTTAACCATTTACATTACATTACATTTACGTCATTTAGCAGACGCTCTTATCCAGAGCGACTTACAGTTAGTGAGTGCATACATTATTTTTTTTATACTGGCCCCCCGTGGGAATCAAACCCACAACCCTTGCGTTGCAAACGCCATGCTCTACCAACTGAGCTACATCCCTGCCGGCCATTCCCTCCTCTACCCTGGGCCAATTGTGCGCCGCCCCATGGGTCTCCCGGTCATGGCCGGCTACGACAGAGCCTGGATTCAAACCAGGATCTCTAGTGGCACAGCTAGCACTGCGATGCAGTGCCTTAGACCACTGCGCCACTCGGGAGGCCCAGAGGGAAAAAAACTTCTAGACCACCTTTACTCCACACACAGAGATGCATACAAAGCTCTCCCTCGCCCTCCATTTGGCAAATCTGACCATAATTCTATCCTCCTGATAGTGACTCGCTCAATATGGAAGTGGTCCAATGACGCAGATGCTAAGCTACAAGACTGTTTTGCTAGCACAGACTGGAATATGTTCCATGATTCATCCGATGGCATTGAGAAGTATACCACCTCAGTCACCGGCTTCATCAATAAGTGCATCGATGACGTCGTCTCCACAGTGAACGTACATACATACACCAACCAGAATGGATTACAGGCAATATCCGCACTGAGCTAAAGGGTACAGCTGCCGCTTTCAAGGAGCGGGACTCTTAACCCAGACAATTACAAGAAATCCCGCTATGCCCTCCGACAAACCATCAAACAGGCAAAGCGTCAATACAGGACTAAGATTGAATCCTACTACACCGGCTCTGACGCTCGTCGGATGTAGCAGGGCTTGCAAACTATTATGGATTACAAAGGGAAGCCCAGCCGTGAGCTACACCGTGACACAAGCCTACCAGACAAGCTAAATTACTTCTATGTGCGCATCGAAGCAAGCAACACTGAAGCATGCATGAGAGCACCAGCTGTTGCGGACGACTGTGTGATCACGCTCTCCGTAGCCGATGTGAGTAAGACCTTTAAACAGGTCAACATTTACAAGGCCGCAGGGCCAGACGGATTAACAAGATGTGTACTCAGAGCATGCGCTGACCAACTGGCAAGTGTCTTCACTGATATTTTCAACCTGTCCCTGACCAAGTCTGTAATACCTACATTTTTCAAGGAGACCACCATAGTCCCTGTGCCCAAGAACGCCAAGGTAACCTGCCTAAATGACTACTGGCCCATGGCACTCACGTCTGTAGCCATGAAATGCTTTGAAAGGCTGGCCATGGCTCACATCAACACCATCATCCCAGAAACCCTAGACCCACTCCAATTTGCATACTGCCCCAACAGATCCACAGATGACACAATCTTTATTGCACCCTCAACGTGATGAAGACAAAGGAGATGATCGTGGACTACAGGAAAAGGAGGTCCGCGCCCCCATTCACATCGACGGGGCTGTAGTGGAGCAGGTCGAGAGCTTCAAGTTCTTGGTGTCCACAACGCCAACAAACTATCATGGTCCAAACACACCAAGACAGTCGTGAAGAGGGCACGACAACGCCTATTCCCCCTCAGGAGACTGAAAAGATTTGGCATCGGTCCTCAGCCTGGTATGGCAACTACTCGGCATCCGACGGCAAGGCGCTACAGAGGGTAGTACGTACGGCCCAGTACATCACTGGGTTCAAGCTTCCTGCCATCCAGGACCTCTATACCAGGCTGTGTCAGAGAAAGGCCCTAAAAATGGTCTAAGACTCCAGCCACCCTAGTCATAGACTGTTCTCTCTGCTACCGCAAGGCAAGCGGTACCAGAGCGCCAAGTCTATGTCTAAAAGGCTCCTTAACAGCTTCTACCCCAAGCCATAAGACTGCTAAATAGTTAATCAAATGGCTACCCAGACTATTTGCATTGACCCCATTTTTTTTACACCACTGCTACTCGCTGTTTATTATCTATGCATAGTCACTTTACCCCTACCTACATGTACATATTACCTCAACTAACCTGTACCCCTGCACATTGACTCGATATCGGTACCCCCTTTGTATAGCCTCGTTATTGTTATTTTATTGTGTTACTTTCTTTTTACTTTTGTTTATTTAGTAAATATTTTCTTAACTCTTATTTATCTTAAAACTGCATTGTTGTTTAAGGGCTTGTAAGTAAGCATTTCACGGTAAGGTCTACAACTGTTGTATTCAGCACATGTGACAAATAAAATTTGATTTAAATCTACACTGGAGTTGCTTATCAAGAAGACAGTGAATGTTCCTGAGTGGCCAAGTTACAGTTTTGACTTTAATCTACTTGAAAATCTATGGCAATACCTGAAAATGGTTGTCTAGCAATCATCAACAACCAATTTGACAGAGCTTGAAGAATTCTGAAAATAATAATGGGCAAATGTTGCACAATCCAGGTGTGGAAAGCTCTTAAAGACTTACCCAGAAAGACTAACAACTGTAATAGCTGCCAAAGGTTATTCTACAAAGTATTGACCCAGGGGTGTGAACATTTATGTAATTGAGGCATTTCTGTATTTCATTTTTAATACATTTGCTTTGTCATTATGGGGTATTGTGTGTAGATTGGTGAGAAACAAATATCAATGTAATCCATGTTGAATTCAGGCTGTAACACAACAAAATGTGGAATAAGTTAAGGGGTATGAATACTTTCTGAAGGCACTGTAGCACACATAGAACAGATCTACCGCTTCTTAAACTTGCTTTCAATGAAAATGACAGATCTATAACACACATTTATTTGAATTTGTTTGGGTCACCCAAAAAGTTACATATTGCAGCTTTAAACAGTGCATTCAAATGGCTGCCAAAACTTTTTTTAAATGACCTTTTGAGGTTGGCCTCAAATG